ACCCTAAACCCTAAACCCAGGAAAGGCGACCCCGGGATGGCGACCCTGCTCCTGGATCACAGGGCTGAGGCGAGTCTGAAGGACGTGAATGGTGCCACCCCACTCCACTTGGCTGTGGTGAAGGAGGGTTTAGGGTTGAGGGTTTAGGGTTTAGGGTTTAGGGTTTAGGGTTTAGGGGGGTAGTTCTCTAAATTCGGGTCCCCTCTTAGGTCCCCGAAATAGTACGGCACTTTTATAAAAAGGACCCTAAAAGGGGCACTAATTTAGAGAACTACCCAGGATCATTCGGAGCTGGTGAGGCTTCTCCTTGAGCACAAGGCAAAGGTGAATGCCCAGATTCCAGAAGGTCGAACACCCTTGCACCTTGCTGCCGTGCACGGTCGCTCGGAAGCGACGGCACTACTCCTCAATCACGCGGCTTCGGTGAATGCCCGAGATGAGAGCAACTGGACGCCTCTCCACTGGGCTGCGCAACGAGGTCATTCGCAAGTGGCCGAGCTGCTCTTAGACCACAAGGCTGACGTGAGTCCTCATGACAAATCCTGGGGGATGATCACGCCCCTCACTGTGGCGACAGGGTCGGTGAGAGAGCTGCTTCTGCGGCACGGAGCGCAATGAGCTGGCCTTCAAGACCCTTTGAAAACAAGTTCGAACAAAGCTTCAGGGTTGTACTGCGGTTCGTTGTTCGGTTCGTGCGACTGTTCGTTTGGATTCGGTTCGGTTTCGCTGCGGTTTCCGTAGCGGTTTGACTCGCTTTCGGAGCTTTCCTGCATTAGCCGATGCCGCCTTGGGGTGAGTTGCAACGCAGATACTTCACTTGCGGTGGCTTTGCATCTAGGCCACTTGCTACGGTGATGCTCCGAGATGCAACCGTGGGACTTGACGAAGCAATATCCCCTTGCTACACAAGTGCTGACACAAGTGCGCATAAACATTGTCTACGTAGCAGCTAGAGCGGATTTTCATGTCTCTATGTGACAGCCTCTGCATTTTCTGTGATCGATCGCCGCTCCGCTGGATTTGCTCGAAGCCTCATCGCTTTTGAACCTGCAGAGAGTTGATGCAGTGTTGGGAAGGAGATGCGGGCACTGTAAGCCACTGTCGCTCTATTCTGGGTTCTTCTTAAGGAATTTAGATTAAGTTGCCATAATAGTAAATAATATGGTTTCTTTATTATGGTAGCTTAAATGAACTCCCTTAACAAGAACCGGACAGCAGTCAGGCTTTCTCAGGATAAGGCCCAGCCACAGTGCAAAGCGAGAGCCCGACCCGGTCTTCCGCACAGAGCGCCATGCGAAAGCCGAAGGCAAGCAAGGCAAGTGGGAAGTGGTTTAGGGTTTAGGGTCTGTTGCTCAGCTGCCACGCATGAGTTGAACTGCAGGTGGCAAGCACAAAGAAGCTGGAAAAGGCAGGAACCCTGAACTCCTAAACCCCCAAACTCCGTACTTGTAACCTCCAAACCCCGTAGTATGGTACCTTTGCAAGCCATGTGTGGGATATTTCCAAAGATCTAAAAACCCTCACCCTAAACCCTAAAACCCTAAAGCCTAAAGCCCTAAAGCCCTAAAACTCCTAAAGCCTAAATCCTAAAGCCCTAAAGCCCTAAAGCCCTAAAGCCCCAAAACCCCAAAACCCTAAAGCCCTAAAACCCTAAAGCCCTAAAGCCCCAAACCCCAAAACCCTAAACCCTAAGCCCCCAAGCCCTTAAACCCTAAGCCAACCCTTTAGAGAAGGGTCCTTAAAACAAAAAGCACAACCCTTTTCAAGGCGGGGCTGCTCGCAGGGAAGGTCAAGGATCACCTGCCGCAGGCTGGCGCTTTCGTCGTCAGCGGGGAAGAGACTTGTCCTACTGTGTGATTTATGGTTTAGGGCTTGGGGCTTCGGGGTTCGGGTTTCGGGATGAGACCAGAGAGCCCAATACCCCTTAAATAAGGAATAGACCTTAAAAATTCGGGGACTTAATATTATGATTTAAGGTATATTCCTTAATTAAGGGGTATTGGGCTCTCTGGGGACTTATCCTACTGTGTGATATCACACCGTAACCATTCCATATTCTGCCGTGCAAAACTGCACTATGCGATCCGATCGTCAACTGTGGTGCCGACGAGGCTTTCGACGTTTCGCGTTTGGGCAAGGCCGAGCTGCGTGTCTGTTTGAGCCCCGAAAACCCTAAACCCTTCAGCTTGTCAAGGTTCAGTGTTCAGATGTATCGGGCCAGGTCGCTGACGAGGATGACGAGGATGGTCCTCCTGAGGAGGCAGAGATCACAACATTTGGCTGACAGTATCGCATCGTATGACATGGTAGGGTTGGCTATAGTCTAGTCCAGTATAGCATAGCACAGCATCGTGTGTCAATTTGGCACTCGCCACAGGTCACCACCGGCCTGGGCACAAATCCAGCGCAGGAGGATCCAGAAGTGGAGGTCACTTCTCATGCTTTAGGGTTCTCGCGTATGTGGGGATTCTGATTTAGGTTTTTGGCTTGGGGCCAGCTGTTGCCATTCAAACTGTGTAGGAGACGGCGGCAGATTCCCTGCCCAGCAAGGACAGCTGCCCATGCTGCATGCGATTCTGTTCATGTGGCAGGCTGTGCTGTTTTTTCGGGGCTCAGCTTGGCAGGAAAGTGTCGCGGTTGGCAAAGCCAGAAGACGTAAGAAGCAAGGCATGGGTTGTCGTTTTGCAGCTGCACCGTTGCTGGCCTGGTGCTCCGGCATCTCCGGCCCTGACACTTTCTGGAGGTGATGGCACCAAGCAGTTGAACTTGTGGCAAGATCCTGAAAACCAGGCCTGCTTCAAGGGCGCGGGAGAAGAGACGGGCTGTGCCGCAGCAGATTGTATGCAATGAAGGCAGATGTGAGACTGATGTGCGCGAACATGGAATTCATTGCAACTCGGAAGTGGCTGGCAGACTCTTCAGTTGTTCCAGGAGCTTCTTCAAGCTTTGAAGATCGAAGACCAAGAAAAGCGAAAGCGACATGCTGGTACGACCCAGTGCCTTGATGATGATTCAGCACGCAGACCTAGTAACAAACTGGTAGTGTAAATTATCCCGTGGGTTCCTTCGTGCTCTGAGCCGCCGTGAAGGATGGAGAAACATGGTGTCACTCTGCGAAGCGACGCTGCTCAGGCAGGATCTCGTCGTTGCTAGCTTTGCCCTCGCCGCAGATGACAACTAATTAATGGCAGGCGCATGACCGCGGCGGACATGCAGCAGACTTCTTGCAGAAGGACGGCCCCAGTATCAGATTAAGCTTGGATAGTTCTTGCATTTGCACTGGTGTGGAGGAGCTGTTTGGCAACCGAAAGCGTGCACCCGGCTTGTGAGCAGTTGTGTACGTGCTTACTCTGAGTGCTCGCTTCGGCATTCTGAACAGGCAAGCGGAATGTGGCAGATCGCTACGACCGCAATGTGCTCGCTGGATGCAGCCACTGCCACAGACGCTATACATACTATACTATACCATACTCTGTTATGCTATGCTATATTATACTGTACTACATCATGGAAGAACTTGGGAGTTTCAGAAAAGTGCGGGGCCGCAAGAAGCCCAATCCACACTGTTGAGATCCCAAAACAGGGATCTCCGAATTGAAGAGCCGCCAAATGCCTTCTCCAAGTACCATGGCTTTCTGAAATTTGGTAATAGTATGCAGCTGTCCAATCCACTGCAGCCTGCCAGCTCAAGATCGCCCAACCCGAAACTTCAGGGTTTAGGGTTTAGGGTTCCATTCCATCTATCTCTGAATTTCGAATTGTCCATGCAGAGCAGTGAAAGCAAAGTGGGCCTAAAACTTCGCAACGCTCGTTCAGCACAACCGAGCTGCTAGTCGCCCAGGGATCAGGCAACAGCGTCAGCAGCACGAGATACTGCTATACTATACTGTTTAATATAGTAGTATACTATGCCATATTATACTATGCCAGATCATATTGTACTCTACTATACTACGCTGCACTGTACTATGCTACATCATACTGCACTGTACTATACTCTACTACACTACACTATACTATACTACGAAATAAGGAATAGACCTACCATAATTCCCATAGATTAGGGTCCCTAAGGTCATGCAGGACTTATATCATCAACAGTACTTTGCTACCCAGGCTTTTCCGGCTCTGCAGACGGGGGAATGGGGAAAACCTGATTTTGAGCCTCGAGCTGCCCTGACACGGAGCCATAATAGGGTTTAGAGGTTAGGGATCAGGGTTTAGGGGCTAGGGGTTAGGGTTTAGGGTTTAGAGTATCTAGGTGGGCCTCTGGTACTACAATGATCAAAAGGAACCCCCAAAATGGTATTGGTAGCTGGTTTTCGGGCCCTATATCAAAATATAGGAGGATGTTACAATGAGCCTGGCAGACACCGAGTTACATGTCTCATCTGCGTGGGCGCTTTTGCGCATGCATGCAGTTGCTTCCCTACCCTAAACCCTAAACCCTAAACCCTAAACCCTAAACCCTAAGCCCTAAATCCTGTCATCCTTGCAATGAACCTGAAAGCCACTGCTGGAGGTCGGGCTCTGCCTCTGCACCTCGTGCGCGGAACAAGGAATCCATGCCGTCGTTTATGTGGTGAACAGGTCATTCAAAGGTTTTGCTTATTTTGTGTGTATGTGTTTGTGGCCTTTTTCTTTCCACTGATTAGTTTCCGCCTGCCCTGAATGCAGGGTCGGTGTCATGTTCGCATATGATGCAAATATCGGTCGAGATGATGCCCACGTCACATCCTGCAGCAAGTTGTTGCTTCATGAGCAGCATAGAGTAGTACCATACGCTTACCCGGTACCGGAGAACCGAGCTGGCCTATTTAACAACCAGTAGCCGAGACAGTTTGTTTTAGGATTAGTAACCCTTTGCCGTCGGCACGCTTCCCGGAGCAGCGCATCAATGTGTTGACTCTCCAGGCATTGTTGTTGATGCTTGTTGAGGGTCTTTGCGTTGGCAGTTCCGCAGATGTTCTCTGCGAGTGAAAGAGTTGCGGTACCCCTGAATGAGCTGACAACTTGGTCGAGAATCCACCCCGGAGCATTTAGCCCTAAGATCCACATGCAATGCAAGTTTGGCTCTGATGTGTGTGTGTGTGTGTGTGTTTGGACTTGAGCACGGTCTATCTATGCAACCTCTCTGTGCTGGTGCGCATGCCTCGGAAGGAAGCGGACAAAGTGAAAGCAACGGCTGGTCGCGATGGATGGCAGCTGGGAAGCCGAACAGGCTCTCTCACGTGAATTCTGCTTGCGACGGCCTTGGCAAAAAGCTCAGTCACTGTCAGAGTTTCCACGGGATCTGCCTAGACCTCACGCTTGAAACATGAGATTCTAGGTAGGACAGATGCATAAGATGTTTGTCGTTCTTGTCATGCTAGTCAGGACGGCATGAACGGAATAGCCGAACTCGCCACTGGTTTGGCGACTCATGGTGCCTCTATACCGCCTTGCGGTCTGTTTGTGTTGCGTAGTGGTGGGCCACTGTTCCTGTCGTGCATCCGACCGACAACAAGCGCGCACGCACTGAGCTTTTCTGCACCTATGCCTTGCTGTTGTCGGCGCATATGTTGTGTCTTGAAGGAGCTGCACGTTTCCTTGCATGATTTCTCAGGAATCGTTTTGGCATGTCAAATTGACCACGCGTCGTTACTCCGGGATTGAGAATATGCAACCTCTGTATTTCTTTTGAGCTTTGTTGTGTATTGAGCACAGTGCAACGACAGCTTGCCGATATCTCCACACCTATACTCGTGTCTGCCGTTCAATGCTGCTTGCAAGGATTCGGTTGCCGCTCCCGAGACGTCAGATCACCACATGGAATCACAGAGTTCAGAGATTCAGCTTCGCATTGAACACGGGTTTGTAGGAGCGTTTGGCATGCAGGCGTGAACCCCACATAAATCCCCCGCTGACGGTTGACTCTACCCTCAACCCAAACCCAAAACCCGACACACCATAGAAGCACTGCTCCTGAACAGAAAGCACTTGGTCGACTCGTTTTGGCTTGTTCAAAACGACATCCGGAAAGTGTCGGTCGCATCGTCTCACCGGATCAATGTGCAGACATCGGCTTGGGGTGTCACCTTGTTTTTGTTTCTCAATCTTTCTCTCCCGCTCGCTCTCTGAATCCATCGGTCCATGCGTGCCTGCATGCACATATGCATGTACACAAACTTAAACACACATGCCCGTGCATGTGAAGCACTCGTGGACGCCACATGCCAGGGTGCGATTTCGTATGTATGTGTAGAATGAATCAATACATGGATGAATGAGTAGATAAGTCGTCTAAACAAGCGCTGAATAAATGATAAGCCGTGTGAGGAATCAGTTCATAAGTTGACTGAGTATGTAAAAATTAACCATTTACTTAAAAAGTATACGAACGCATGAATGAATAGAAACTTAAATGAACGAGTGAAGGAAGGAAGGATGGCATGAAGGAACGGAAGGCATAAATGAATATACAGGAAGGAATGAATGAACGAAGGAATGAAGGAAGCAAGGAAGGAAGGAATGCCCCAGTCGCTCTTCGAACGGCGAGGCATTTGCTGCAATGAAGGAAGTAAGGATTGCGCCAAGAACTGAATAAGTAACTGTCTGTGTATACATCATGATACATCTATCCATTTGTCTCTCTATGTGTCTATCTATCTACCTGTCTATCTGTTTGTCTGTCTAGCTATCTATCTATATATCTAGATGTGTGTTTGTGCGTGTGTACATATATACATGTATGTATGTATGTACGTACGTACGTACGTACGTACGTATGTATGTATGTATGTATGTATGTATGTATGTATGTATGTATGTATGTAATGTATGTAATGTAATGTAATGTAATGTAATGTAATGTAATG